AACTTGCAAATTTTTCCCAAAAAAAGAGGAAGAATGTTCTTTAATTCCCAGTGCTGCCTCCTGCTACCTTTCCCAGGGCCTTTCCTCAGCTGACAAATATCATTCCGGGCATTCCCAGCTCCATGGTTTGGACACATCACACTTGGTACGTGGCTCGAGGTGCTGATGGCATCGTCCCTTCGGTCCCCCAGGCTCCCTGTGCTGGGGTGGCCAGGTGGGCTTGTAGGCGGTCCCCCAACTCTGCTTTACGGATAGGAATTAAAGCACCTAACACTACTCTACAAGGGGGATTAACATCCCTCTTTCATCCTGGTTTCAAAGTAGCTCAGTGGAGTGACTTTTTCTCAAGTATTTTCTCTAGTTCTTTCTGTTCTGATTTTTTTGTACAGAAAGAAATGAAAAACAGAAATATGCTTTCCTCCCTTTCATGCTGTGGGAGCATTGCAAGGTGTATCTGTTTTCTCCAGCTGTTGGAAAGATCTGAGTTTTTCCATTACCTGGGACAAAAATAATTGAATCAAAGCTATGGAGCTTGTGCTCCAGGCCAGGGGTCAGTCACTAACCAACAGGGCAAGGAAAAATATTTTTCAGTGAGAAAATCACTCTGCAATTGTCTATGATGGGTTTCTTGCACATTCCTAAAGAACTACTGTCAGAAAGAGCTAAAATAAGAGCATTCCCAGTCTGATTCCAAACGGCGATTCCCATGCAGAAAGCAGGGTATTTTTTTTTCCCCTTTTCATTGCTTATCATTATACAGATTTGCAATCATTATACAGATTTGGCTACATAGTTTTCCTGAGATTTTTATAGACGGAGGTACTAAATGAGACAGCAGTTCTTCTGTTGTTGAGCACATTTTTAAATCCCTACAGATCTTGCTAGGGTCTCACTTCATGTGAGGCTTAAGGGTTAAATCTTAGGACACACTTAAATCCTCCTCTCAAGGAAAGTCCAAGTATCAGACAAGGAAAGCATGGAAGGGTTCGTTTGGAGCTTGAATGTTTTTAGTAAAGCCCTCTACGGGCTATTCTAATACAGTAATGCATGAAACAGATAATGTACACACCAGCTCTACATATATATCTCTAGAAAGAGAAAGAAAGTCCCTGACAGGCGCAGACACGAAGCATTAAAGCATTCACTCTAAGCAGTAGCATAACAAAACAGAGGAGCAAAATTTCTGCTGTATAATTGCAATTCACAAATAAGCAGCCAAACAGGAACCTGTATACCAAAAGACAGAAATTGCTCCCATTTGATGACAATTTCCATAAATAAAGCTCAGCTGACAGAACGGGGATAACGGAGGCCAGGGTTTTGATTTGTAGGCAATAGCTGATCGTGGTAAGCACTTGGACGAGAAAGTGGGAAAAGGCCTGAAGTTGTGTCAGTCTGACTTATGTGGCACTATTACAAAGTTCAGATGTTACAGCTGAGGTTACACACCACTTACACAGTAATCAGAACAAGGCTTAGACTTCCAGACTCTTTTTATGTCCAAGTCAAGACATCTATACTAAAAGCAGTGAGAGCAATCTGGTATCACTATGGGAAAAGCAGACTACACAGAGTCCAAGGGGCAAAGGGATTGAAATGTTTAGGAGGAAAACCTGAGAAATAAGCAAGTTGTGTGAGCCCACGATGACCAAGCAAAGTGCTATCTCCCTATATCTTACTTGCACCAGCTACTTCTCGCAACCAACCCAACTGATTCTTTGTGCCCTGTCACCCCAAAAGATACTGGGTGAAGCACACAGCCAGGGGAACACAACAGCAGAAGCCCATGCCTCATATAAAGTCTTCTGGAAGCTTCAGTACCTTCTCTGAATACAAAAAAGCAGCCTCAGGTCATCCTTGACCAGGCACCATCCAACATTTCATTCCCTCAATAAGAGCTCGATGGCTTGCAGAGAAGAGAGCTTTTGTAATGAGCTTTGATAAAACATCACCCTTGGGATAGCTCAGGCATAAACTTCTCCAAAGAGTTATGTTAGGATAGGATAAGGTTGCAGGACAACAGCTCTATCAAGCCTGAAGAGCACAACGTGGGACGCATGAAGGTTGTATCTCTGCATGGACATGATCTGCTCCTCGGGGCAGCGCTCGCTCCCAACAAGGGATGCAAAGGGAAGGAGCGAGGTGCTCCTCCTCGTAAATCATGACCAAAAACATTGTTCTCGAGAAGAGAAATAAAAGCGAGATTTTTTGCCAACAGTAGAAAACACATTGTTCTCGCAATAATCGCCTCCCCCCAATGACAGCTCAGTGTCATTTCATATTTTTATGACGGCATCTGACAAGCAGGGTTTCTACGGAAACACCGATATTGGGGGAGCTGGAGGGGAAGGAAGAAAAGGACAGAGCCTAAAAATAAGTCACACGCCTCTTCCACACATTAAAACCGCTCGGCAAAAAAATGTAAACATTTCACCCTTTGAGTGGTAACATTTATAAGACACCCATAAGACTCCAGCCAAGTGGAATTGTTTCACAGTGAATAGTTTCCCTAAAAAGGGGGTTATATTTGTGAAGTTGCAAATGTTTAAAGGGAAAGGAAAATATGCCTGGAGAACACATTGATTGAATTATTTATTAAATTACCCCAAAACAAATGAAAGCATTATCCTTTTGCACCACTGAAAGTCCTATAAGGACTCAAAAGGGTTTCAGGTGGAACATGAATAGATTTCACCTATTCTGAGTACTGATGTTTTCATACTGTAAATGCAGTGGGCTTTTTTTCTCTCTCTCTCTTTCAATTTAAGCCTGAAATAGATGTGGGAAGTGAAGATAATAGGCCTCCCCTTAAGCAATGACAGGACATAATCCAGATTTACCTGCACTGAATGTTTCCAAAGAAATGACATCACAACACACCAAATTAAGAGCTTTTTAGGTCAAACTGCAATTGAGTTAGGAGGAAGCAAAAATGCACTCAGAATATTTTTGGAACATCCAAAACCTATAATTTTTCAAACTGTCATTGTTGGTCCAATTAGCCCCTGGCTTCCCAGAAGAAGCCCTGCATTGGAGGGGATTCACATCAGGCAGATCGGTTTATCTGTGATGAAATTAGGGCTGTGCCCTAAAAAGGGGCTTTCAAGGAGAAAGCTAGCCAGGTCCAGGGCAACTTTGAAGACAAGTTAATTGTAAAATAATGCTGACACAAAGCTCACTAGAGGCACCCAAGTGTTTTACCATCTCTAATGGCAGGGCAGCCAACGCCGGTGTCTGGGGATGCTGCACCTTATGCTAAACAGAAGTAGACACCACGATTCATTCTAAGGCTGTCTCTAACAGGCTCCACACGTAGATGAAGGGGGAACAACAGTCAGAGCATTTCAGTGGTTTCTCAGGTTAACTTTGTTGTTTTAATTCACCACCTTCAAAGCCTGCAGAAGAAGAGGTCTGAAGACGACTTGCTTGGATGATCAGGTGTTGTGGACCTGGTATTTTGGATTTAGGAACCCTTCCCTTCGAGAATAAGATACAGGAGAACTGTGTATATAGACATGGAATCATATTCAACTTGTAAGTAATTACATTTACATAATTGATGCACAAGCTTCACTTTAAAATCTAAAAATATGAAATAGCTTTAGAATTGTAATTGGAAGTGTTAGAAGCAGAGTATATATCATCCTTTTTCCTTCCTTTTATTTTCTTTTAATAGAAAAGGTTGCATACCTCCTGGGCTGTAAATATCCCTTCTGCGTTTCTTTACTCCAAACAAGGATTATGATTCCTCTGAACTTGCAGCACATTTCCCAATAGATCTGCTGAAGTTTCCATCTCCACTAGCTGTCCACAATGCTTGCAAATTGGCCAGCGCCTTGTAATGGTCAAGTTTTTCATCAAAATGCTGGGAAACATTTTATTTCAGGCCTTTCATGTCCTTTATTGCTCTCATCTCTTTCTGCTTTAGCCACTGTTAGAGCTGATCTTGTATTTATTTACAAGGCAGTCAAACTCAAGGCTTTAGATTCAGAGCCACCTGTATGCTTTACAGTAGTTAAAATATTTTTTAGCTACTGCAGCTAAAATAGCTAAACTATTTTTACTTGAGAGTTTTTCAGCTCAGATTCAAGCTTAACAATAATGCAACGTGGTAAAAATTGAAGTAAAGCAGCATTTTTAAACATAGGATTTAGCTGAGCAATACGGCTGCAGTAAATATCACACATCTATCCACATGCCAACAGGTTTGGCATTGTGTGAGCTCAAACTCACACAAAATCACGACACAGAACATAAAGTTTATAAAAGAGGGAGTCCTTCAAAACGGAACGAGATCAGCATCCATGTCCTTTGTGGGCTAGACACGTTTTTTTCCCCTTAGCTCTGAGCTGTTGATACCCATTTGTTCATATTTTATGTAACACACAAACTTGTCATTTGTTCCCAGGCCTCATTATTTATGTATATTTAATGTTCTACTCTCAACTTCTTGCCTTTATTTCTTAGGCTGAAAAACATATTCAGCAAAACCTCCTTTTTCTGATAATCTATTATTATTTACTGCAGTTTAACATGCAGTTAATGAACTTCTCCCCTTACCCCTTAACTCCTAAACCTCAAGGCCGACTGTATCGTTCCTCTACTATTGCTGATAGCATCTGTTCTTAGGTTTCTTCCTTATGCATCTATCATGTAAGAAATGCTTCTTTACAGAGATTGCATGAGTTTACAAACGGAATGTATTTTTCCCTTCCCTCAATGGAAAATAAAAATTTTCAGAGCACCACAAAGCTGAATTCCAGAGCCATATGTAAAAAGATCCTGAATTTTTAGGGAGGTGTTCTGCTAAAAAAGCCTTTTTTTTTAGATCCTTAGGCTCTCAGTATTTACCTTTCAGCATCCACCTATGCAAGTCTGAGGCTGTGAGTATTGTGTAGGACTCACTATGGTCCCTCTGGGATTTGCAGGTGGGATTAAGGGTGAATGTCCATATAGGAAACACTCGCTCTCACTCAGGAACACGGGAATCTAAATTCTCCGATCTTCTCTTTGATCCGGTGGCAAGTTTTTAAACAGCCCTTCAGCACTTTTCTGGTAACACAGTAATGAAAATAAGATCCTTACCGTTAAGTGCCTGTAATCCTAGTCTAAAACACTGTATTTTTCAGAGAATGTAATAGATACAGAGATTACTACTTTACAGCCCTTTATAAATGTGGATGTAATAAAAGTAATAAAAATATTTGAATATATGCCTATTTTTATGTACAATACCTGTCTTCTTTTTATTGCAGTCTGTATTAGTTAATAGATAACTGAATATGGTGCCTCAGCCTCTGAATAAACCAAATCCAATTGAAGATCTATATCGTGGAATAAAAGAGTTTTCTTACAGCAAGAGACCCACGGCCACCTTATCCTATCTCTGCCAGCAGGTACTGACAAATCCATCACAGGAAAATGCAGGAAACCCTGTTGTAGATAAATGCAACCAAAAGAATACACATTTTTCTAGCCTCTAAGCCAATGCTAGAGGTTGAAGTATGCCTAGGAGAATACTGACCTGTATCTCTTCAAAAGAGGAGGGCAGATACCATCCAGGTGCCGAGATGTCATCTTCTGCCGGGGTCCCTCTTTGGCCCTTCATGCACATGAGCCTGGAACAAGAGGTTCAGATCCCCACGAGTCATCTCGGAGTGAACTGGGTGCTCGACAACGACTCCTCATCACAGTTTTATTACCACAAAAGCACGTAGCAGCACCCAGCTTAATCTCAGTACATATTTAATTACTGATTTGAAAATATACCTTTAGCACATTCCCTCTGATTTGTTTCTAAAACACCTCATCTTGACCATTTGACTCAGCCCACATATCAGTCTTCACATAAATCCAGCACTTTGTGTTGCCTGACACAGTATTCCTGAAATCCCAATGTATTTTTTCTATATCTTTTCCTTCTGACAGGCTCCCTAGCAATTAACATAATATTCTGGTTGAGCATCTATTTTTCATCATCAAAATCGCAGCTAGTCCATGCTCTGTATTGCAATGCTTATAGCCTGTGCACTCAAGGACTTCGATTACTGGTTGGAAGATTGATGTATTTTAAGGAAGATCTTGTATT